GTGACAACATTAAAAGATCGTCGTTATTGGAATGCGCATTTTAATTTGTCCAGAATAAAAGTACTTTGGCTTTTGGTATATCAAAAAAGTCTCCTACACTCTGAATATCTTTTTATCTAATAATAATAAAACAAATAATTATAAATCAGCTCATTTTATGTCAAGTAATAAAAGTAATAAAGAAAATTTGATGTATAAAAATGAGAGCTAATATTTTATTCACGTAAATTATTAAAATAAATCACGGAACATTTTGAATTTCATTCATTGTCAGTTTTTCTTAATCGTTGAAAATAATAAATTTATAAAATATAATAAAAAAACGACACCAGAATATAGAAGGAGCCAATAAACCATCTAATAGTTTAGATGCAAACATAAGATGTAAATTTAAAATAAAATAATTTAAACAATAATGCTTTCGTTAGATAAATCTACGCAAGAAATAAAATAGAAATGAAATCCATAATAAAAAAATGATGAAGTCAAAATTGATTCTTCATTCAACAACGAGAAAAAAAAGAGTCAATAAGAATAAAAGTAGTCAAATGTCAAAGTATTGTAAAAGCATTGTGAATGTTCATAATATAGTGTTCAAATATAAAAGTACTTAATATTGGAACTATAAATTAGAGACAGAAAAAAAATGACAGAATGAAAAAATGTTTATACAAAAATAAGATTCATAAGAGGCATATAAAAAAATTAATGACTGTATGAGCTCGCAAAAATAAAATATCAAAAAATGAATTAAAACTGATTAAAAACTTTAAAAGGATTAATTTATTAATGCCCATTTTTACGAATGTAAATTCTAACTTGGGTTCAACTTGCTCTTCATCTTTTTCTAATTCTTAGAATTAAAAAAAAGTGAAGAGTTAGTTAAATCGAGATTAAAATTAAGTTACATTGATATAGAAACGGGCATAAGAGAAACATAAAGGAAACACTATCATCGTATCCAATTTTCTTTTGTAATATATGAAAGGTACGTAAATTTTGTATAAACGTAAACGTTTGTTCGATGGTTTTCTATTTGCAGGATAAGATATAGATAAATATTAACGTTAAGCATAAAGAAACCAATCAATCTCAAAGCTCTTTTTTTCACTTAGTTCGAACGAGATAAAACATCTCTCTAAAGTATATTTTACCGATAATTTCGTGTAACATATTTTCAACAAAAGTATTGTTAGACAAAAGAAATAAATGAGAAAATAGTTAAAAAATTGCTCTCGAAGCAATATTCTTCTATCGATCCATTGTAATTCTGTTTCCCATCATATATGTCACCCTTTCTATTTCTCTCATCGTTATCATGAATATCTGCTTAATGCTTATTATACGAAATAAAACTCTAAAATAAAATAATTAATTTAAAATTAATAATTTGGCCATGACAATGAACTACGATCCGATTTCCGTCTTCCTAGGAAAAAATTCGATATTTAAAAAGTGGCTATTTACAAGAAGCGCGATTGGACAACCGATTTCCATAAATTCTCGCGGCGTGTATATCGAATATGCGTCGTAACAAACGTTACCCAGAATACACGGGGCACGTTTCAACGTTGCCTCTGTGATGCCTATATTGCTGTCATAAATCTAACAAGGCAGCCCGGCATTAACCCACCAACCGCCGTCTATACTTCCGGCACCAGCTCGACCTCCATATCCGATAAAATAGCCGCCTGTACGCTCCTTCGCATTATTTACGCCAATTTAATGAACCGCATTGGAGTCACGTGCTCCGCCGCAAAATGTTTCGCGAATTGCCCGATAAAAACAACCGTGGAAAATCGATTTGTAAATCTCTCTCCACGAAAAAGTCGCGTCGTGATTCAAATTCGCCGTTTGTTCATCTTTCACAATACTCTTGCGGCAGAAACAACGAAATACATTTCTTTCCGTAACATAGCCACGGGGAATGCTGTGTTAGGTCTCTTGTATTTCCGCATGTTTATTTCCACGATGTATATTATTTGTGAAAAATGAAAATTACCCGAATTACTCGTTGCTAAATACGATATGCTTGTATAATACATGCCGCATATTATATAATATTTCGCGAAATATTCGCTTTAACTAGACATAAATACATCTGCGTACGTAAATGTATTAAGGGAAACATAAATGAATAAATTATTTTCGAAATTATATTTTTTGCCCGGCTTTCATGAATATTTTAAAATTCCATTGGCGCTGTAATGTTAAACATTACAACAATAATTATCAGGTATTCTCATTCGCATCAGAATGCAATTATCGCGTTGTTTCATGGTTACATCGAAAAGTTAACGCTTAAACGACCGAAATATCAGGACCGAACATGTTCGAAAACAGGTACATTTCAGGTAGTATCTTTAGTAAACATATTCGTATTATTATTTAACTGACGGGAGAACATATCGTGTCAGCAATGGAAAGATTTTTACGATGCGATTGAATGTTCACTGTAATAAAAACGACATACGAGCTCCTGCACGCGGCAAACGTCGGAAATATTGTTCATATCGATTTAATAAAACGCCCGCATTGTGGTGCACGGTAGAAATGACGGCGTTCTGCTTGCGAAGAGCAAGAAGAGAGAATATTCCAAACGAAATTTCCTCGGTATCTCATGATCGAAGATATGATGCGAAAAACCACTGCAACTTCAGCTTGCCACGGTTTTCTTTTCTTGTAAAAACAGAGATTTCTTATATTTAATTGACGGAACATTCTCGCGTACACATCGCGAAATGTATTGCTGTCAATATCGCGCGTTTGACTGAAAAACATCGTGTATTTTGTTGAAAAAAGCAATCGTTTGCCTGCCGTTTTTCCTCTCAATTTTCGATTGGTTCGCGGTAGTGAGCGAGCGAACAAACCATTGAGTTTTGAGAAATAAATCTCAATGTTGCCGAGATTCGTCGTGGATCAGTGGAGTGAAAAATTGAACTACGTCACCGTGTTTGGTTCATGCCAACATTTCTTGCTTTTAATATTCAATAAACAAGGAATTTGTATCTTGTCGCGGGATATTTTTTTCGCGTAAAATTTTCAGAGATTGGTAAATTTCACTCGACAGTACATCGATAATGTAAATTTTTTATGCAAACTCTTTTAAGGTTTTTAAAATATTAGCTGAAGTTGCTAGATTTGTAAAGTAATGACATGTCCATTTTTTTAGCGCTCCGAACCAAATTACGGAGTGTTCATAATACAATATTTCATTTACATATTAAATGCATTCTTTAAATTTTTTGGAGTAAATCATTTCAAAAGAATGAATCTCACTGCGAAAACTTTAGAGAGCAGCTTAACCTGTACCAAATTTTCTATATATTTTTAAAAATTTATTTTCTTTGGTGATTACATTGATTACATTGTATTGATGTGTACTTTCATCTTCTGAACTATATACAGACTATACTTACATGTATACCTTCATATATTTTTACACACTGAAACCTCAACGACAAATAAACTACTGTATTAAACTAAAGAATACATAAATTAAACATTTTTACATATTTCTTTTGTTTATAAAAAAATCTGATTACAAATTTGAAAAATTGATTTATATAATTTATGACTTTATTTCTCTCACAAAATATATTTATATAGATACATAAGTTTGGAATGGTTGCGTCTTTTAGTCAAAATGGTGGAGAGTTTTGCGATACTTTATAAATTTAATGATTTTAGATACAGTCATAGAAAAAATTTTCGAAAAAAACCCAATACTCTTTGATCAATCATAAAATAGGATCGATATAGGGACAGTTATATTTATTTTTAACAGAGGAATAGTTTACTCTTAATTGAAAAATTTTGTAATTTAGAAATAATTTTAGACATCAGTTTCAAGTATTATGTTTCCAACATAATGCGTTGTGATATCGCTTAATGATTAATTCTAAACGTAAAAATCCAAACTTAAATTTATCTGGAGATACTGGTAGTGTCTCGGCACTAAGCCGAGTGCGAAATATGGACGTGCCTCTCTTACGAGAACCAGCGAGTTGCGTCAGATCGAAGTTATCGGATCTCAATAACTATGTGTTACTATGGACATTAAGTCTCATAGACATATTGCCTAAGAATAATAAGTTAACTTTCTTTAATTTAAAAGAGGAGACCAAAAATTGTTAATTTAATAATGTTTTATATTAATTGTTTTATTTTTATATTGCACAAAGCTATGATAAGATTAAGTACGTCAAGAATATTTTTTATCTTGTTATCAAAAATTCTTTTTAAAAGAGTATTTTCTTTATGTTGAAACAAGAGAAAATGGCACTATACATAGATATAAGCTGCGTTCCGTTATTCACTATGACTACTGAAAATTTATAATGCACATTACGTACAGATTTTCACTACTCGCAATGAATAACGGAATGTAGCCATAATCTTGTACTAATAATAAACGTTTATTATTAAAAAAATCTAATTTCACGCAAGAGAAACAACACATTTCACGAATGTAAAATACAAAATACGTACATCATTTACTTTTGAGTTATTGCTCAACATTATGTACGCAAAAATAAGGTACATGTTCATGCGATCCAGTTGTCGACCTGTTTATTCATCCCGAAGACAATGGTACAATGGTGCCGCGTTAAACACATGCTACCTTAACATTCGAAATGATGTTATGCCAGGCCGATGTGTCTTCGTAACGACGATAATATGAGCAACTATTATTCACAAAAGTTGCAATGTAATGTTATGGGATAATGAACTACTGTGCATCTCCTGTTTGTGAAAAAAAAACAGAATATATGTTGGTAACGAACATTTCAGCTCGAACCGCGAGCATTCTATTAAGATAAATGTGATGAATATATGTAAGCCATATTGGCTTAAAAAGAACGTTTGAATAACCGTTGTACAGTGACAATAATATTATTACATAACGTATATATCAATAATAGTATAAGCATTGAATATTATTGTCTCGTGTGTTCATTAGTAATAGCATTTCTCTGACTGGACATTTTTTGTTACAGAGCCATGACAGCTGGCAGGGACACGATAGTGACCAGGTGAGCATTCGATACTTGGAAAATGCTTGCGAAAATACAATTTCCATTAACACACACCCGCTTCGCTCTTTTCTGAAAACTTTCCTTTCTCATACGCTCTATTCCCTTTATCACTTGCGCATTTGGTCCGCTACTTTCGGAAAGACATGCTGACTCTGTGAAATCCTTCCGCAATTTGCATGTTGATGTGCTTCACCACGTTTATTCGTTCACCGGAACTCAGTATGTTGTACGAAATTTTCTGGGCAGCGGCAGAATCGGTTGAAATGCAAATTGCACGCTCTTATACATTATAATACGACCCACTAATACTTAATATAATACTTTTCCCATCCGCCATGATTTTCATAAGCCTTTTTGCGACACGTTTGTGATAAATGTATCCATTGTTACCAAAGTTTTTGACGTTGAGATAAGAAATTCGTATTCTTCAGTGTGTTTCGATATTGGGTTACCAGCGAAGTCTTTTTCCGTGCATTATGTTCAGCTAAAAGTGTGCATCAAAAGAATGCAGCACTTTTTATTTGATTTCGAAACAAGATTCAGTCGGTTTGTGTCAGAACTTACATGTGAAAGGCTTCTTCAACTTCGCTGAATCTTAAAAAAGTGAAGAATGCGAATCTTGCTTTTATATCCGTTACATAGAACCGTCATGATTTTCCATTTCGCGATTCCTCGTCTATCGAGCAATTAAAACCAACAAATAATTTATATTACAAGTAATTGACATTCGTGGATAATTAAAACCTAACTGCAGCTGAAGATCAGTGAAGAAGAAAAGCTATTTGCTGCGGCGATGCGTGCTGCAGAGCTCTTATTTCGTCGTCTGGTTATATAATTACAATATGCGCACTATATTGCGCGCCGTTATTAAAGACGCAGGTGTTTAATGACGTTTATGCGAGCGACGAGACTGGCATGATATTGCGGCTTGCGAAAATATTTGTCGAATTGAGAGAGAACCACGACGCGTATCGCGGTCTGACGATCGATTCTTGATCGCGCCGCGTGCTACCGCCGAAACTACTGTTGACACTTTCCTGCCCTTGCGGAGTTTCTCTCTCTCTCTCTCTCTCTCTCTCTCTCTCTCTCTCTCTCTCTCTTCATACAGTGCGCTCGGATTCAGATTAATTAATTCCTTACTGCATGTACCGTATCTAACGCGCGATTGCTTGATTAAACGCAATAACGGTCCACTGAGTTACACGCGAGGGAATTGCGGAAAACATGTGGGAGAATCGATCGCTATTATGATCCTTCATGTGTGCAGGTTGGTTGGTGTCTTTGTTCGGATATATTTTAATAAACATTTAAAATATCGTAAATAATGGAACTCACAATTTGGAACTTAATCCTTAATACTTATGATTTTCTTTACTGCACATAATGGATTATTTGTATCTCGGATTAATTTTCATCACTTTAGCCAATATGAAAAAATTATACAAGCATACAAAACATAATTTAATGTTTGATCTGCAGATTAGATCATGGTATTTTTACATATTTCGATGCTCTAAAATCGAATTCTGATGTCCAAATTGCTTCATTACGGTACAATTTTTTTTATCACAAAGTAACTCGGTTTTCCAGTATCTTTAGAGCTATTTATGGCCTGGTTCTTAATATGCGAACTGAGGTAAAAGAGAGAAAGTAAGTTCAATAATAATATACACGTTTATAAAATTAATATACAAACTGGTAGATTAAAAATTCTGATAGATTAGAAATTCGAGAAAGCTTTCTCGTCAATAAAAAAAATACGAAGTGATGGTACAATTTGGATATTGAATTTGATTTTAGAACTTCAAAATATATAAAAATATCACAGTCTGATCTCCAGATAAAAAATTTTTTATGTGCCTGTATAAAGTGATTCTTACATATACTTATTTTAATATCTTTAGAAAATATTTATAAAGTTGTATTTTCTAATTACTTAATATACTTAGTTTTTCAAAGAAAAGAAATGTACACGAATGATCCAATTATATTACATGTATATACTAAGAATAAAAAAAAGACATTTCCAATTACTTTTTATGTCCCGTATTCTATAATTTAGTATTAATATTTCGTGGTAATGCTGTTCACACATTTCTTATCGCGGTATATAGAAACGAAGTCTGCAGATGAGTCGCTGGAGCGTATCTGGCGCATCGCTATGAGGTATCCCCTCGATAATCTAATGTAGTCCGCGAAACAGTCTCGGAGAGAAATCTGAAGGTAGACTGGAGACTTAACAATGGTGCAGCGTTGAATGTGATTTAGTGTGGCGTTTAATCGGATCTATCTTGGTACCTTTGCCGTATCTCATGCCACTAGCAGCGCTTCTCTGCGACACCGAGGACACTTAGGACGCTATTGTAATTGTTGTACCTTGAATTTGTTGCTCGTCCTCACAAGGTACCTTCCGACAATTTCCGAAGTTTTAATAAATGATTAACAAGTGTGTCATACGGCAGATACGTGGAATAGATACACGGTTTGCTCCATACTAATGTTAGTTTGAAAGTGTAAAATATATCTGTATAATACTACAATAAATAGGATAATATTAATTTTCACAATAGGGATTTAATAACACAGAATTTTTTAAATATAATAACATTAATATTTACCGGTCAACTCTAAGCAAAATCATAAGGCTCGTAATACGTTCTTGTAAAAAAAACTTGTAAGAACTTACAAGTACTTACTTATAACTTTATGCAATATCTTTACAAGACAGCTTCTTGCTAGTCGTAAGATTTACGAGAAATCGTACATATTTATGAATGATGATGCGTCTTATAGTACATACGCATAAAATTACAACACAGTCATAAGTTCTTACAAGTCTTACGAAGAACAAATTACGAGTCTTACGATTCTACCTAGAACTGATTCATTAACTATAGTAAATCTAACAGTGAAAATTAACAGTCGCAATTTAATATCGTAAATGCAATATCGTCCCGCGGCAAACGCAATATGTAAAATTGTGTCTCGTTTGTTAAGTTCTCTTACTATACAGGCACTTTACCTCATGTTGTTTTTCAATGGCTTGTTCGAACCTGAGAAGAGAGATAGTACTCCAACCGCCTTCTTGTTTCGGATGTCTATAATACGCGTCATCCACCGCGTCATCCGTACTCCTTCCGCGAGATTCTATTCTCTCCCCGGAAGCACAAAGCGCATCGCCCAACATCCTTTGTTGTCGCGCATCGACTTTATCTTCTCATCTCCTCTCCTACGGTAAGTCTCTTTTTCTCTTTCTGTTCCCTTAACACATTCTCTCTGCTTTGTGGAAGGCCTCTCAAAGGGATTGGTCTCTCCTTCCAAGAGTTCTCTTTGTTTTCCGACGTACGGAGCTTTTTTCCTTTCCCTCGCTTCTCTCGGATCCCAATCACCTTGTCACGGTCTAACTATCACTGGGAAACTCTGAAGCTCATTGCCGGAGAGTTTCGCTACAACAAGTAATGGCGACTCGACAGTAAACGAAATTTTAGATTTATTTATTCACACGATTGCACGACACATGGGACTTCTATTGACCTAAGCTCCAATCGAGAGCTGACATTTCGCGAATCGGTTTTACTTCGATCGGGAAAACTACTTTTCTTGCTTTGCCGGTATCGTTTTCGCAATACGCTCGTTAGAGTGTATACTATCGGATTGCACACTTAACACTGGGGACTCTATGGCTTGACGATAATTCTCTCTTCTGTTTCTTTCTGTCACTTTGTTTCTGTTTTTCCTACGTTTTTTACGACGGCATTCAGGTTACTGAAAGAATCAGGCTTCTCGCTTGAGTTCCTGTTTTGGTTTTTTTTTTTTCATTATCAGGATCACTGTGGGGGATCCTGCCGGGACCATCGGGACCAAGCGGAGTGCACGAATCTCTACAAAAAACAAAAGAAAACGGGACACCATCCGCAGCACACGTGCTAATTACGATGTCACGCGATCTCTCTGGAAAAACGCTCTTGTTTCAAAAAATAAATGGCAAACAAAGCGAAACTGTCTTCCTCTGATATGTTATATCGATGTCTTCCTCTTCTTTTTTTTATATATAGGCAATAGCTTTCTCTCATATATCCGACAAAAATTGTATAAATTGTGTTATTGACGTAAACTTTATAATTGTAATTTTATTTTGTAATTCATTCTATTAATCTTTTTGCTCAGGAACATAAAATGTATTAATCAATCGACATATTGAGGAATATGGAAAATGTAAAATGTCTTACTTAACTACATCATTCTAATTTTCCCTTCCATTTTTTTCCTTTATTATCACAATTTTTTCAGATTATACTTCAATGATATCGTGCTCTCTTTTTCTTTCTTTCTTGGAGGAAATGTGATTCGCCGACGCTTTTGTAATCCACAATCGTTATATCAAGACAGAAAGAAAATCAATATACATGGTTATTACTTTTGCACGCGAAATCGTTCCAAACCATCTTTAATTGAGCACAGTGCATTAATTAGACGTCAGTGCCAACAAGTAGGCGAAGGTGTTGTTGCATCTCGAGCGTTGCGCGAAACTTGGCGTATGAATAATGCATACGCATCGTCGCTTGTCAAAGTAAACGTCGCGATTGTAGCAGCGCTTTGTCAATTTGCGTAAATGTGCGTATTCTATGATTAGTCGTGAATTTCCAATCAGCTCGAGTCGCAAGGCGTCACGTTTTAGGCTCATCAGCCGGTAGATCGTTACATTTTTATCGACTGAGCGCATGCAGATGGATCATAGATCGTTATAGATATCACCTGCAGCTTTGTTTGAAAATATTCTTTTTTCACACACCATGCCGATCTCAATAGAAATTCAAGAATAATTCTAAGCTAGCAATGGGATTTTTTAATAAATTCTTTATAAATTCTATAAACGGAACAAATGTATAGTTGGAAAAAAATGTTATTGTAATAAAATATATATAAAGAAAAAATGTAATGGAATTCCTAAGTACGACGAAAGTCTCAAGTATTTTACAAGATATATTGATAAGTTT